GACTGCCATGAAAGTGGTTACTTGTGGGTGGGGAACTGAACAAATCAGGAACCAACTTAAAGAAATTGGTCTCCATTTTCACGATTTTGAATGTGGGGCACCCAAACACGTGTGTCTGACAGTTGAAGCCATAATTCCAACACATAATTTCGGGCTTATCTGGTTGAATATATCGAGAAAACTGCGTATCAATATTTTAAAAGTTGCTTATTTTCACGATTTTGGAATTATACACATTCTTGAAGACCTAATTTTCTACAAGGTGAATTTTGATGTTTATTAAGTAATTGATGAGAGGTTGGGGTTCTTTGTTAATTTTCGTGCATGATGAAAAGAGGTAACTCTACAACTTCGAAGAAGAACTGTCTGAGAGATTGAAGAATGGCTCGAATAGTGAAGCCTTGCACAACTAATCTCCGAAATCATGAGAAAATGGAGATTTCAGTTATTCTCTCTCAAGGAATAGATTCACTTTCTCGGTCATACTACCTTGAAGTTCCAGCTGATTTGCTTTGTCTGTATTATAACATGGGTGACAAACTGCAAGAAAATGTTATTTAAAATCAGACTCAGTGAGAAAGAAATCGCACTCGAAGGCTTCCTCAATAACCGACAATTGTGGCAAATGGTACAAGATTTCAACCACGTAAGTTCCCTTGGAATGATTGATTACATTGGCCTTCACTCTCTTTCTTACTTGAAAGACCTCTTATGGCAAAATGTATTATTATCCGTCGATATAACATTTTGTGCTTAGTGTGGTTGATGTAGGCAACAGGGTCAACTATACGAATCAGCCAAATTAATATTGTTGCCAGTCAATCCACAAGATGCCTCCAGTACAATTTGTGACGAAATGAGTCTAACCAACGTCCACATTATCAGGTAAATTGTAGGCATAGAGAGGTCAGAGTTCACAGCCAACAGACAATGTGAGTGGGTACGCATGAGTGCTGGAGACGGAAGAGTGGTTTGATCTTTCTCAAGTGCAAACCCACGAGATTCTCTTGGCCACCACTGGTGGAGCGTTGGAATACTAAGTTTGCGTCGACTCAAAGATGAGACGATTTCGAAAGTTTGCGTAATGAACGGTTCGCATAACAAAATTATCTTCTTTTTCTATTCAGTTGACTCCATTTCCAAATCAAATTCTCATTCTCTCGTATTCTCATTATCAGCCTAGTATCGATGTCTTTTCTCTTAGTTATGCATATATTCGAAATTGCAGAGCGACCAAGTTCCAACCACAAATGATTTTTTTCTACTTTGAAATAATTAATCATTTAACGGTGCTACAATACACAAAATGATTAAATTTTAATGAATTACGCTTGTGACGCGACTCTTGTGAATGAATTTTAAAAGAGTGCAAGTTTGAATGCAATTGAGTACGAGTCAAAGTGGTAAGATAATGATATTCATTCCAACAAATTTTCCATACCAGAATAGTTTCAAACCTCATCTTTTAAAATGGAGGTATCTAAAACGCGTGCCGATTTTGAATCAGCAGTTAGAGAGCTTACAGAATTGTAATTCTCTCGGTCATTTTCAAACCCCATTTCTTTAGAATCAAGCAATACGCTAGAGAATTTTTGGAAATCTACCACCGTATTCGCGATTTTGAATTTGATTGTCATCAGGTCTCTCAACTCATTCTCTCTGGTGGTGGAGACAATGAAATCAACTCACAAATTTGGGCCTACCTACGTGATTTCAAAGAGGATATTGCTCTCTTCGCACCGTTTAGCTACTTTAGTAAATGCGCTCTGGAAATATTTCCACTTGTCAAACCATTTGCATCTGTCCGCATGACCTCTAGGCATGCATACGATTTCTACTGTGAAAGGTACTAACCAAACTAATATCTGCTTTAATAGGGTGACATTTTAGAGGCAGGAAAATGCGATTGGCTCTGGAGAAGTTAAAAGGACTAGGGGAGAAGTTTCATCGTGACTCAATTGACGTAGAACAACGCGTTTTTTTTGATCCATATTTACGTGATGAAATGAAAAAGTATTTGGATTGCTGGAATGCTTACTTTGCGTTTCGTCCTTTATTGACGAACCTCCGTTGTAGTTGGGTCCCTGTTGTGGCAACGTTTTTCAAGCATCGACGCATAGTGCGAAGCAAAGATTTTAACATGGCATTAGGAAAGCTCAACTAGTCTAGCGCATCAATTCGTTTTGCTTTGTTTAAGTAAAATTTTTTTGCTATTTTATGTCAGCTTTACATTGTTTTCCGGTAGAATATTCAAGTTCTCATGAAAATTTACCAGTGCCTTTTATATATCCTACCTGAAAAAATGCTAAATGTTATTATACAGATAGTTGACCCAATAACCCCTAAATAACAGATTATCTTCAACAAAATATCCAATTTTGCACTCTTACTTAAAGTGAACTAATTGATTTCGAATAACCGACTTCAATTTTCCAATCTGGTTGAAGAACTTGAAAAGTGGGAGGGTGAGAGAGAGAGCAGTCAAGTGCCATTAAGATAGGTTCAACTAATGAAGTTAGCCATTTTGATCAATTTTTTTGTCTACCAGATATTAACGACTCAATAGTCTCTAACTCAATGGTTGTTAAAATTTATTTATTTCAAATGGCAGGCTTTGTGATATTTATCATTAGCCCTTAAACTTTGACTTCAGCTTCCCCCAAGAGTGGGGGGTGCATATATAGCAGTTAATTAATAGCAGTTCATTCTATCATTAGCCCTTAAACTTTGACTTCAGCTTCCCCCAAGAGGGGGTGGGGTACATACAATTCATGGAGGGGGTACATTTATAGCAGTTAATTAATAGCAATTCTGGGGGGGGGGTACAAGCAATTCATTTGCTGTCGTCTTGCTTTCCAGTATATCTGGCTTTCCGTCGCTGCCTTTAGGGCTGGGCACCGAATCAGGTGGGTCTTCTCCATTTCCTCCTGTGGGTTATATGGGGGGGGGGCATGTGGGTTGAGTGTATACTCCCAATCTGTGATGGTGTTTTGCCACACAATCGCGTCTGGTACGTAGTCTAAACTCAGCAACGGCTTCGATTCTTGGCCAGTCAGCTATGGCGGAGAGTTCCGCTGTGCACTGCTTCTCCTTTGTTTGAGCTTTAAGTTCGTTGCACCTTGAGGTCTTGAATTCTCCCCCGATTAAGGCCTTCATTGTGTGGAAAGACATCGGTCGGTCCATGCATTGCAAAATCGTTGTCCCCTTCTTAGCAAGTATGTCAGCAAGCTCATTGCCTTTAATGCCACAGTGATCAGGAATCCATTGTAGGACCACTGCTTTGTTTTTCTCCTCAACAGCTGATAGAGTTTTCCACATTCCTTTATCTCAGCTCTTTTGGGTGGCTCTCTGTTTCCAATTGAGTTTATTGCTGACTGTGAGTCCGAAAGTATCACCGCTTTGGTGAATGTCATGTCTAGGCAACAAGATTGGCATAGTGTTATCCTAATGGCATCTATTTCTCCTTCAAAAGCGGATCTATTATGTCCCGCTGCTGCGTAGAAAGAGAAGAGTTCGGAATAGACACCTGCACCAACGTTTGCTTGGTTTTCTATGTATGACCCATCAGTGATGACTTGGGGCCATTGATCTCCAGGATAGTTGACATTGATTGTCTCAAGGGCCAGTGAGCGCATTTGTTCTGGAGGGGTGTTTGATTTCCTGAAGAAGTCAAGCAGTTGGGTGCAACACACTACATCAGTGTCTCCTAATGGGTTCATGGGGAGAGAGAAGCGTTTTGGTTTATCATCGATTTGTAATTCTTTCTTCAGTTCTATGGCTTTCTGTATTAGACCAGATTGCGTTTTCAGATGTCTTGGTCTATTCTCATAGGTGCTTAAGAACTTATCCATGGGAATGCGCAGTAGCTTCTCATACAGGATCAAGGCCTTTTCTTTGATAAGGGAACATATTGTAGTGCTTCCTGTAGCAAGGNCCGCTGTGCACTGCTTCTCCTTTGTTTGAGCTTTAAGTTCGTTGCACCTTGAGGCTGTCCGATACGTAGTCTAAACTCAGCAACGGCTTCGATTCTCGCCGCCGGGTATGTCGGAGAGTGCCACTGTCCACTATTTCTCCTCTAATCGGAGAGTGCCACTGTCCACTGTTTCCCCTTTGTTTCCACTGTCCACTGTTTCTCCTTTGTTCGAGCTTTGAGTTCGTTGGTAACATGAATTCTCTCCTGATTAAGGCCTTCATTGTGTGGACTGTCCGATACGTAGTCTAAACTCAGCAACGGCTTCGATTCTCGCCAGCCGGGTATGTCGGAGAGTGCCACTGTCCACTATTTCTCCTCTATGTGGTAGAGTGCCACTCTCCACTGTTTTTCCTTTGTTCGAACTTTAAGTTCGTTGCACCTTGAGGTCTGTCCACTATTTCTCCTTTGTTCGAGCTTTGAGTTCGTTGCATCTTGAGGTCTGAAATTCTCTTGGATTAAGGCCTTCATTTCGAGCTTTAATTTCGTTGCACATTGAGGTCGGGAATTCTTTTCTGATTAAGGCCTTCATTGTGTGGGAAGACTCGGTCCTATCCCTTTTTACCAGGCGGTCCATGCATTGCAAAATCGGTGTCCCCTTCTTAGCAAGTGTGTCAGAAATCTCATTGCCTTTAATGCCATAGTGACCAGGAATCCATTATATCAATGTCTGATAATGGATTCATGGGTAGAGAGAGGCCTTCAATGCCACAGTGACCAGGAATCCATTGTAGGACCAGTGTCTTTAATGCACTTTTTACCAGGCGGTCCATGCATTGCAAAATCGGTATCCCTTGCCTTCAATGCCACAGTGACCAGGAATCCATTGTAGGACCACTGCTTTGTTTTTCTCCTCAACAGCTGATAGAGTTTTCCACATTCCTTTATCTCAGCTCTTTTGGGTGGCTCTCTGTTTCCAATTGAGTTTATTGCTGACTGTGAGTCCGAAAG